AGGCTCCACCGTACAGCATTTGAGACGTAAGGGGAGGTCAAATCAGCCTTGTCATGAATGTTCCCATTAGATTGTATATCTTCCTAATTATTTTATTCAACGGTATTACTTAATACGTGTTGACTGAACAGGTTAGACTGACAGGTAAAACGTTATGTGTAAACGGTGCTTAACATCGATTGGTTTCATGCAACTATGACGCCATTATTTTTTCAGATTGTAAACTTATACATCACTACATACTACATGCAGTATGCAGCAAAGCATATCACAATATACAAATACCCTACTTATAAGAAGAGATTAAAAATATATTGATATAGTTATATATCTGTATATAAAACTGAAACGTCATCGGTGAGTTGAAGGGTCTTCACAGATAAACAACTTAGTCACGATCTAATATATTTTTTACAAAAGCCAATTTCAAGAAGGAACCAAGCCGCCTAGAGGTGCTTATGTCCTTGATTTTTTAGATCCCAGTTCTTTTCATTTTATTATTAAAGTTGTTGTAGTTTGGATTTTCTGACGCTCAAAAAGCAAATTTATAATATAATAGTCGTTAATAAAGAAAAGAAGTTCGATCATAGATAGTGTATTAGAAAAGTTTATTCTAATAATTTATTTTCTCGATTTATATTTTTTTTAATTAAATTTTTATTTAATAAATAACAATTGCTTTAAGAAATGCAGCTTTCTTACTGAACTGAGTGACAACAAAATACAAACCATCGTTTGATAATAATTGGACTAAAAATGTATAAATAATTAAAAATAATATTAAATATTTAATTAAATTATTTTTTTTACACATAAATTAGGATTGATTGATGTATTCAATTGTTTTTGGTCACTTCCTGTTTCACCGGAAATGACTATAACTTTTGAATAAATTGTACGCTTTTAGATGTTTCAAAAAACTTTTAATAAGAGTAACTTTAACTCTACATATATGTTTCGGCTTGTTAGGCCTTTTTCAAGAGTTTTTTAAGAACTAATACGATTAGTTCTTAAGAGTTTTTTAAGAACTAATACGATTAGTTCTTAAAAAACTCTTGAAAAAGGCCTAACAAGCCGAAACATATATGTAGAGTTAAAGTTACTCTTATTAAAAGTTTTTTGAAACATCTAAAAGCGTACAATTTATTCAAAAGTTATAGTCATTTCCGTTTATGTTTCGGCTTGTTAGGCCTTTTTCAAGAGTTTTTTAAGAACTAATCGTATTAGTTCTTAAAAAACTCTTGAAAAAGGCCTAACAAGCCGAAACATATATGTAGAGTTAAAGTTACTCTTATTAAAAGGTTTTTGAAACATCTAAAAGCGTGCTTTATTAAAATACTAATATAACTTTTGAGTTTTAAATGGCATCCTCGGTATTTTTTTACTTTATTCGATAGAAAATGACATTCTGAATAGAATGACATATCATATGTCAACTTTTGACATTGTCGCTTAATAAAAAAACGTATCTTAAAATCCAATCTAGAGTGCTACAGCTATATTAAAAACACTAATTATTCATCCAGGAGCCTTGGAAAAATAGATGTGATCGTCTAATGTTTTTAGTGTCTTGTCCTGGCCAGTTAGAAAATGCTGAAATCGTATTTTTAATAATATGTCAATTTTTTCAAATGGAACGAGGGTGGCTCATTAGCATATTTTAAAAAAAGTATTTTTTTACGAATAATTTGATACCACAGACTTGGTATTTCGAGTCATATTTTCGTTACGAACCGCCTATTGTAATTTCAAATACACCATATGCGAAAATGTCAAAAGTTAACATATGATATGTCATTCTATTCAGAGTGTAATTTTCTTTCGAATAAAGTAAAAAAATACTGAGGGTGCCATTTAAAAATCAAAAGTTGTAGTCATTTCCGATGAAACAGGAAGTGACCGAACACAATTGAATATGTCAATCAATCCTAATTTATGTCATATACTAACATACCAAATCTCGTTTTTTTAACTGAAAAAATAAAAAAGTTATAGGGGTGAGCCACTTTTGAGACGCACCCGGTATAGAAAAAAATATGCTTTAAAAGTCTCTTTTTGATTTCATATAGGCCAATTTTGCAATTTTATTTTTCATTTTCTTAAGATTAGCCAAGGGAGCCGAATTGGACTCACCCTGTACAAGTTACACGTTTTGTTTGTTTTACAGGGCTTCTCATTTATGAGTAGAGATACAAAGATGCAATTTTTTCACATCACTGTGTTACTTTTTATGAAACTAAACTTGCTACACATAGACTTGTCCTAACCTTCTTAGTTCCCGAAATACAGGGCGAATTTGAAAATTTTGCATAAAATATTTTGTTTCTACATCTTTCCATTTTCGTATAATCAACCGAGGCGAATGAGGTGCGCCACCCTGTGAAACATAAATCAACCTAGTTTAAAAGAGTATTACCATTTTATTTAATTTAACATAACCAAATAATTTTGTATTCCATCGTGTTATATTAACAAACTAAAACATGATGACCACTAAAAATGAACTTGTGCAAGTGCGCAAATTTTGGATAGGCTGTCAATAAGAATAAGACTATTGATATTTTGGTTAGGTTAGGTTAGGTAGAATTATTGCACCTGTGCCGGTCGTAGCTCCAGCGGTAGTGTGTCGATCTGAGCGGAAGGTACTGGGTTCGATCCCCAGCCAGTACGGTCGCTTTATTTATTTAAATAAGAATATTTATTTATCTAAATAGAGCGACCAACGAGCCGCCACCTCAACGAAGGCAATGGCAAACCACCACAAAACACATACACAAGGAGAAGTGCGAGCGCCTTGCTAAATATTGGAAAGTGAAATTGACGTTTAAATTTGACACTGTTGACAAGTCTACTGCTACTAGCGCCCCCAATATCGCTTGTAGGAACTACGGACTAGATTGTCACGCATGGCGGGAAGTTTAAAAAAATAAAAAATTTTAATTCTTCATTTATTTTTAATTATGACATAGATAAAAACACAAAAAATACACCATTTTTTAAAAATATGTTTAATATCAATATCAAATATACAACAGAAATTAATTTCACCACAATAAATTAATAAAATTAAAAAATGTTACAAGTAGATCAAGAGACAAAATTAATTATAACAAAACTGAAAAAAATGGCGTCATAGATGGCTTAGAAATGACGATATATATCATAATTTTGAAAGTAAAATTATATAGGAAATGTCATCGATCATCATTTTGAAGCCAACTGGACGATTATTTCAAACATACAAGCTGAGTTCGTTCATAGTGCTCTGAGAAATCTAGATAAACAAAGAATAATAAATTAAAAGTATTCCAGGGAAAAAGAGAGGAAAAACCTGTATCGTCTCTGATATCTGTCAGGGTTTTGTTGAAAGTATCATCTTTTTGCTCGAAGTTTTCAGGTCGATTAAAAAGATGACATTTACAACAATACTTTGCCGTAACTTTCACAAATATCAGAGAGAGAGAGTACAGGTATTGCCTCTCTTTTCCTCTGGGATGCTTTATATCTGTTCTTCTTTGTTTACCTATATTTCTAAGAGCATAATGCCAAACACGACTACAGTATATAATAATTTCAATATCCTAAGTGGAAAGAAAAAAGATCACCTTTCTGTTTTGTACTATGGTCCCTTTCTTCCGATGGCTCATCTCGTTGATATTTAGGAAGGTATCCATAAAATATATTTTATTATCGGTCCTGGGATGAAAAAATATAAAATTCAATTTCATTTGATGATCCTTTTCTGTCACCTAAATCAGGAGAATGACAATGAGCATGTTAAGATGAAAAAAAACTTATTTATCAACACTTACCTACACGTTAGTCCAAGGAGTTTTATCAAAACCTATATTTGCCTAAATAATTTATGTATTCAATTTACAAAGCAAACTGCAGCGTGTAAACCATAGGTGTAAACAAAAGAAATAAAATGGCGACAAGTCAACGTCAACGACCCGACAAGGAGAAAAGTGGTGTTCGAATAACAATTTATGGGTGGCAAAAAATTGTTTTTGTCTCCTTTCAACGCACACTTTAGAAAGAAAAAAAGATGAACAGTTATACTGAAAGAATGTCAAGGTTTTATCTGTCACTCTTGTCAATAATTTATCGGTAAGGAAGTTTCCTAGAAAATCGCTTGTAGTCAAGTTTTCAACCATTTCCAGTTCTCCCATAAGAAGTGTCATCCACCTGCAAACCACCTTGAGTATATTTGCTTTGTACAACCTCTCAAATAGTTCCGTGCGGATTCGGCGATAAAGTGTAGGTCCCTTGTACTTGTGAAACACTGATCACACACATCACAAGTACATGCGAGAAATAGCCGACGCTCTATATAGAGTATGGCACTGTAAGAATAATTCTACACAGAAACTGGCGTGGAGTGGCCAATAACCAAAATTTGACGTCAAATAAACTATTTGATGGTTTGATTTAAACCAGCAGCCTATGTTAAAAAGTTATTAATGCATTTTCTTACCTTGTTAATAAATATAAAGCATACTATATTTTTAAAAAGCTCATAACAAAGAAAATGAAATAAAAAAATAATATACATAAAATTTAAAAAGCATATACTCAAGAAAGACATCCCCCAGTGAAAAACTAGTTACGCCACTGGATTTTACGTGAGAAAACTCTATGGGATTCGGTTTTCACTTTTTTGTTGTTATAATATAACCGAAATAGGAAGAGGGTCGAAAATGCAAAATTTTTAAATTCGCCCTGTATTTCAGGAATTAGGACGACAGATTTGTGTATAGCATCTTTAGTTTCATAAAAAAGTAACACAGTGCTGTAAAAATCGCATCTTTATATCTTTATTCATAAACGAAAACCCTTGTATAACACACGAAATTGGGACACCCTATATAATCTACTTTATATTTAAAATTAAAATATACCAAAATAGTATAAGTATCTGCAAATATCACTAAATTAAGAATCAACAAACAGGTGACTTAGTGACTTTTCCTACCTACTTGTTTTAGTTGTGAACCCCTATTGCTATCGAAAATAACATGAAATCAACACTGTTTATCCCTCCCTCTTCCCTCAGGTGCTTCCCCTATCCCTGCCTGTATATCGCGTGCTTTTCCCGCGTTACGAAAAAGTTTTCTCCCTTCCCGTTCGGGCATCCATCATCAACATTAGCCTCAGCCAGTCAACATAACACCGTAGCATAGTTAGCGACTTGACGCGTTTTAACGGTGACGGTTTGTACCATTCGTTATCTCGCGGCGCGCGAAAATTTTCGAAATATATTGAAATATCGGTAAGTTTTCCAATATAATATGTCCTATTTTTTATTAAATTATTTGAATTTCTAAAAATGATACAGAGAAACTTACAACATTTTATTTTATTATTATTTATTTTTTTAATATATCCATGTTTCAATATTTAATATATTCCTTGTATATATATTTTTCATTTAAAATCATATCAAACGTTCAGAACATAAGTACAAAATTACTGCATACAAACTGATAAATGAAATGCTTACTAAACTTTATTATTTTCTAAATTTTCATTTCCATTACATTTAAAAAAGTTAATTTACTATACTGAATATAGTAAATTAATTTTTTGACATTTTTTCCGGTTTTGAATATACAGTATGTCCCCGAATTGTCTTTACAAGAGGAAACTTTTTATAATAATAAGAATAAATATTTATTAACCAAAATATATACAACTGTATAAAATATTATATAATTCAACAATATTATAAGTAGTAAGCTTTATCTTTTTGGCAGTTGTTGGTTGCGCCCTGCTTTATCTGCAACAGTTTCAAGACTTAAATCTCTTCCCTGGGCAGATACCACCGAAGGCCATTGTTCTTTTTTTATTTTTTTATAATTTGGTCTATGTCGCCTACGTTCATACGCTCATATCAAATATCATGTTTTTAATTTTTATCTTAAATTTTTTATAATTTACTTGTGTTAATTCTTTTGGTAACATCTTATATTATATTGTGGTAGTTTCTGTTGTTAGTTTTTGTGGAAGATTTTTTGAGTTCTCTTGGCTGTTCTAATGTCTGATTTTCTTCTAGTTTCGTAAGTGTGTATTTGTTTGTTAGTTTTTAAAGAAATATTTGGTTTTATTAATTTATTTTTGACTTTGTGTAGAAGTAATAATATGTTATGATATTTTATTAATTGTCTTATGTTTAGTTTTTTGTTTTGTTTTTTGGTATATTTCTTCTGTTGATGTTAATTCTTCTGTCTATGTTGACAACTTTAGAGCTAGCTTAAAGTAACTACGTTTACAATTTATTTTCATTAGTTTAGACATATTATTAGATATTCTTTTATTTTTTGTTAGATAAATTTTTAATTTTCAATGACTTAATTAAACTCTATATTTTTTAAGTAAAATAAAATATTTATTCATATTAAATTTACTGTACCTATATGGTACAGTAAGAAAATAACAAAACATTTCAATAGAGTTATTAGCGTTAAGATCATTACCTTTTAAATCGTGTTTCTGTATATTTACATATTATTTAACACAATTATATCATAGAAGAACGTGTGTAAATTGATTTCTGTGAACGTCAGTTACCACCCAAGCAGAGAAGTTTTATTAATTTAGAAATTATTTAGGTAGACACACTTCTACGTTTTATAAAAAATCACTATTTTCATATGAAATTGCTCCTTGGTATAAAAAGATTAAGAAAGGAGATTTCCAACCAGTCAACCATATTTTTTATGTTTTTCTTAATTTCCTCTAAAACGGTATGAAAATTTGGAAAAGTATAGACGGGATTAACCATTTTAGAACAAGCAAAATTTTTTATGAAGAATGCATTTTTCTCAAAATGTCAATAATAAAAAAGTTTTTCCTCTTGTAACGACAATCCGGGGACATACTGTAGAGATGTTTTTAAGTTCTGAAGTATAGTCTAGTTTACAGCATTTTTTTTAAATTATAGTGAGTTCTTCAGGGTGTCCCAAAAAAAGTTACACATGAAAGTTGTGTTTTTTGTAATGGAACACCGTATATATTGATTTTCAGATTCCAGGAAAAAAATAAAGGTGAGTTTCATTAGAGAAGTATATGGCTAAAATGTTTTAAAAGGTTTTTAACATATTTAATATTTTCTAAAAATGAAAAACAAATTTTAAATTTCAATAACAGCTGCCGAAATTGGAATTTACCCGGTAGTAATGTAGGTAATATGTAGTTAAAATAACCATTGTACTCTAAATGAAATTAAAACTTGACCCAAAAGGTTGTACAGGGTGCGACAAAATTAATATTGAACATTGGTCACATTTAAAAGCAAATTACTCTTTTATTTTAAATGGAACATCCAGTATATTATTTCGATATTCAATGGGGAATTCATGTCTCTTCATAATACTATTAAGGTTGCCTACCCTTTAAACAACGATTTTCTTAGATATTTTCATTTTTATGATTTTGCGTCAGTAGACCTTTATTATTGGACAAATCTAGGTGGCTGTGATATACCTTTTGTTAATTTAACAAAAATGAATGTATGTAGAGTAAAAATATTCAACGGTAATAAAAAGATACACGTTTAAAACAGGTATATTTTAATTATTACAGAATTGAAATTAGATATAAACGTATATGTAATAAAAATTAGCTAGATGAAATTATCAAATACCCAAAATGCTTCCATTCCTGTTCCCTGCATAAAATACTATTAAGGTTGTCTACAAAGATTCTCCTAGATATTTTCATTTTTATGATTTAGTGGCAGTAGATCATTATTATTTGGTAAAATCTAGGTGGCTGTGATATGTCTGACGTTATTACTTGAACATAGATGTCAAACTTTACTTTAACTTTAACAATTAGTCAATCAATTTATGTCAGGAAAATAAAAAGAATTCTCAGAAATTTGCCGAAAATAGAAACTTATACTATATCAGAGAAAATTGATATGATTCTATTAGTTGGGGACTGCAGTGTGCATTCACCAATTAATAGAATACTTAAATGCTACTACTACTACTGCCATTGCTCGCTGACGAGTATTTGACACGCATCAGAAGATGGTCACGCAAGGCGTTTTCTTTCATGAGGTTTTCTGTGACTGAAAAGCCCGATACGTGATGTTATCTGTCTACCGCACTCCAGAGATTCAAAAATCTCATTGCTTTGTGGCCTCTTTACTTTTTGGTTGTCGCTGTTAACTGACTTAAAAATTCTTCTCCATTCCGTTCTATTGTGTGCTGCTTCTTCCCACTCATTCTGCTTGTTAATTCCCTTTCACTTTTCGTGGAAAATATCCTTATACCTTTTGACTTGTCCACCCGGCCTCCTCTTAACGTCTACAAGCTCACCGTAAAACAGAGATTTTGGTATGCGGTTCTCTTGCATTCTGCATACGTGACCAGCCCATCGTAAGCGGGACTTTGTAATCATGACTTCAATACTCTCGCAGTTAGCTTTTTCAAGGACCGATACGTTTGAGACATGATTGAACCATTTTATTCTTAAGAGTTGTCTAAGATGTCTCTGTTGCAACTTGTTTAATGCGTTCGTGTGTCGGCGGTACTGTACCCAGGTTTCGCTTCCATATAACATGGTGGGAATTATTATTGCTCGGTACACTGCAAGTTTTGTTTTTTTGCTCAAGTCATGATTGTAGAAAACCCTGTCTTTTAATTTCCAGAATGCTCTTGCCGAGGTAATTGAATTCCACTACATATTCCAATAGCTCTTCTCCGATTTTTATAGCATTGTTGTGATCTTCCGGGGGAGTGTACTTAAATGCTGTCGATTTATCGGGATACTTTTTTTATCGGGATCAGACAGTGTTTTCAATACTCGACAAACTATTGTTGACAACATGAAAGAAATGATTGTTGCTGCTTTTCGAAGTAGAACTTCACATATGCCCCTTCACATGAAAAGATCTTTTGAAAAGAGTACCATTTTATGCAGGGAACAGGAATGGAAGCATTTTGGGTATTTGATAATTTTATCTAGCTAATTTTTATTACATATACGTTTATATCTAGTTTCAATTCTGTAATAATTAAAATATACCTATTTTAAACGTGTATCTTTTTATTACCGTTGAATATTTTTACTCTACATACATTCATTTTTGTTAAATTAACAAAAGGTATATCACAGCCACCTAGATTTGTCCAATAATAAAGGTCTACTGACGCAAAATCATAAAAATGAAAATATCTAAGAAAATCGTTGTTTAAAGGGTAGGCAACCTTAACAGTATTATGTAGATATATGAATTCTCCATTGAATATTGAAATAATATACCGGGTGTTCTATTTAAAATAAAGGAGTAAATTGCCTTTAAATAGACCAGTGTTCAATATTAATTTTCTCTCACCCTGTATAACTTTTCGGCTCAAATTTTAATTTGATTTAAAGTACAATAGTTATTTTAATTACATAATACGCTATACGGAATAAATTATAATTTAGAGATTTAGATAATTTAGATTTTTAAAAATTGTTAAATATGTCAAAAACCTTACATTTTAGTCATATGCTTCTCTAATGAAACTCGCCTTTATTTTCTTCCTAGAATCCGAAAATCAGTTAATATATAGAGTGTTCCATTAGAAAAAAACACAACTTTGATGTGTAACTTTTTTGGGACACCCGGTAGAACTCTCTATATTTTTAAAAAGTACTCTGAATTGACTTACATATGCTCACCAAATTTCATTTCAATACAAACTGTCGTTCTCCTTGGAACGTCCGCGGCGTATGAGAGGCGCTACCCTCTATTTGAAAAAATTGACTCCTTTGATGAAGATGTTAAATCATGATTGGAAAAGTTACATGAGAAAACCTATAGTAATTAGCATGTTTGCAGCAAAAAAAGTCTTATTAAGCATCTGTTTCCTAGTTAAACTGGTAATGTAATACTTTTATTAGAAGTTCAGTTCACTGAAAAACCACATCAAGGAAATAAGTAAATATGAAAAACAAGAAGTCTGATTTTTTATATATTCCAAACCTCAAGTATACGATAAGTCGCGGTTGAATATCGTCTTCATCAGCTAACAAATAAAACACAACAAAGAGAAAACTAAAACGGTATTTTCGTGGTTTGGAGCCCTCCAAACTCGCCAGACTTGGCATCGTCACGTTACGCCACGTACTTTCCTATATAAATCAAAAGCAGAGCGCCTTTTTATGCTCGTGATTTTAAAATCCCTGATGTGTGTCATCTATTATGTTTTTTACATCTATTCGCTTTAATTTATTCTTTTATTGTGGCTTCGTTAACTGTAAAATTATGAGTAT